AATAGCTTTCCTCGAAATAATTAATTAATAACTTGAATCAACTATATTATGAACACCGTTCAGCTCAAAGAAGAAACTTGTTTTTAAACACATGAATTGGCACAAATACCCAATTATTGTATTTTTATAAAAATAATAAAGAATATATTTTATACACAATTGAAAAAAAATGACCTTCCCACACACCTTTTTGCAAATTTTTAAATTGTAATTAATTAATGTGATTATTAATTTTAGTTTTTACCCGACTAGGGCAAAGCAAAATGAGGGTTATGATTTTGACAGGCAATGTATGTATGTATGTATGTATCTATGTATGTTCATTGTTCATCTGTTCCCTCGTAACTTCTAAACTGCTCAACTGAATTCGATAAATTACATATGATTAGAAACGTCTTAATTGTCTGCTGGATAAAGGCTATATGGGGTATAAAAAAATCTACTGTGGCGTCATCTAGCGAACAAAAAATTCAAAGTAAAAAAATTAGGATTTTGTCGTGTTTGGTATTATTTGATGCAGTTAGTTGAATGTGATTAGCTGGAGTCGGGTATTAAAATTCTAAGACTCGAAGGCGAGCTATCGTTGCTCGCCGTCCTCAAACGTATGAAATTGTCCTCAATTTTGGTTTGAATAATACTTATATTTTTACTTACTCCAAGTCGCAAACAAAGTGTGATTCTTGACGTTTTCCAAAACATTTAAAACGCTTTCCAAACACACCGCTTCGTCTGTCTCCCATTTTTCGAGTTTCAGTTTATGTGCCAACGAATCTAGGAATGTGTTTCCTTCTTTCTTGTTGGTAGTTTGAGGATATACATGACCTGTATGAATATAAGTAACGTTAGAAACTTTTTATATTTTTAAAGATTCAAGTTCTTTTTGAGGGAATAATCATCACAATGACTTCTCACGCCCAGGGTCGCTCGGGACTGTTTTAGGAGCGATAAGACCCCTCTTTTTGCGCTTGAGAGGCGCCATGGCTCACCTTCTGCCTGACGCATGTGCTTACCAGGCACGGCAGCTTCGGTAGCGTCCTGTTTCAGATCCTGCGGGAGGAAACGCTTGGGCTGACACGGCTGAGCACCGCCATGTCAGCCTAAGCAGGGCACACCGCCACCGTATGCTCCTCCGTGTTAAGATTCGAGTGTGGTAGTGCAAAGCTTCGCCATGAATGGGTCGCCTCGACCGGAGTGACACCTCGGCCTCACAGAAAACCGGAGTGAAACAACCATAGATTTCTGTTTCACCATGTAAGTGACGGTACGGGGACCTTTCGCTCCCCCATCCCTCCACATTCCATAAATCTCAAAAACCCAAATCTCCAAAAGGCTGGTAACGCACTTGCAACTCCACTGGTGTTGCGGACGTAAATGTGTGGCGCTGATTGCTTACCATTAGGTAATCCATAAAACAAAACAAAACATAGGTACTCAAAGCTCAATAAAAAAATAAAAAACTTACCATAGAAAAAAGATAACGCGTATAAAATAAACGTAATTTTTAATGTAATATTTGATTGCATTTTGATTAGCTGTTTTAAGAACTGCTGCAAATGGCGTCTAACTACAGAATAAGTTTAAGGAACAATTACTTTAATTTAAATTATTTAAACAATTTCTAGTTAGACTTGTGTAATAAAAGCTAGTACTGGCTGTGTGAGAACTAATAAATAATTTATTAATGTATTTATTTATATTTCAAGAATGCTCATGCTATTGGCCAAGTGGCTGGGAAACGTCGGCACCGAACAATCCTTTGTGTCATCTACAAATTGTTGTTCCGAGTCTGCTCGTGATGACGCTCTTTCATGGCTGACAGATTATAGATTATATATATTTATTTATTATAGATTATACAGATTATAGTTAATAAATAAGTTCATATAGTGTTCATTAAGTGATAACTAATGTAATAAATATAAAATGTTATTATTATCTAGTTATAAGTTAAATTGCTGCGCCCTAACAGGGTAATGTATAGTACATTGGCTGTATGTTATACTTGACATTATATGTACATTGTGCAATATGAATAAATAAATAAATAAATTATTTTGATTTTTCTTTTTGCAGACATTTCGCCTTTATCACGTCTGGTGGTAAAGATACCCTTTGGAGAACACAGACTCCGGCAAAGCTTTTATTAATATAATATGTAAAGAATTTTTAGATGAGGTAAAGTCATTCAATGATTTCCCACGTCCAGAATGGGGCGAAAGGCTGAATCTGACTATTACCCACTGACTCATACGGCGAAACCCAACGCAGTGGTACTAGATTTGGCCCGCAACGCCGTTCGCGTGGAATAGTGACTTCTTTCAGATTTTTGGTATAAAAACTATCCTATGTCCTTTCTCGAGTTCGAAACTATATCTATCTATACTTTCAAACAATGTAGTATTTTAGGCGTGGGGAAAAGCCAGACAGATAGAGTTACTTTCGCATTTATAATATTAGTATAGATATAGATAGCTATATAGCAACATAGAAGTATAGATTATAACGTTGTAAAAATGAAAATTCAATTCAAACAAAGTGACACAACTTCACATTTCTCGTCTATTGAAAAATTTGTATTAGGTCTCTAGCGTTTGCATAATTTTAAAGGTCATTTTTTGCCATAACAAGGTCAAAATTGTTTTAGCTTTTTAGCAAATAAGTTTCTTTATTCGCTATATTTGAGTAATTTTATGGAGGAGTAATCAGTTCTGAGCAATTGTTATTAAAACAAAATCGTTGCAAAACAAGACATCAATTTTATTTGACTGCCCAACTGACGTGGTTTGTACTGTGCGGGCCTTAGATTATTATATGGCAATTGCCGCTATATCCCATGGCGGTAATCCGACAAGGAGGTTCGACGCCTCCCTAGAGATCTTGCGACAACGACGAATCAGCTAAATCCAGTTGACGCAGTGACTGTATTGTACTGGACTTGTTAGTAAATTAAAAACATCAAAATACTTCTCCCACTTAGTAAGGGCGGGAGGACGTGTCAGACTCTTCTTTACTAAAAACCCCCCCGTTCCTTCTCCTGCTCTAGGTCGAGGTTGCGATGCCGTATTGCGCTTATCCCGAAACCCCGGCTAAACATCAGCCCTATAGGGCCCCGTCTGTAGTGGTCTATTGACCATAGTAGGTATCTATTGTAATGGGCTGTCGTGTAAGATGTTGCAAGTGCGAAACTTTAAAATGATCTTTCGGCTGCGGTATTGCCGAACCGATACGACTTCGGCTCGTTTCTTGAAGGTTCAAACCTTCAAGAAACGAGCGTAGGTAGGTACTCCTTCTTAAAAGGCCGGCTGTGACTTCTCTGGTGTTACAGGTGCAAAAGGGCGACGCTGATTAAGATCACGTGATGCGTAACTCCGTATTGCATAAAATAAAATATAGAATAACGTGCAAAAAAACTATTCTTCTTTCTTTCTTCTTTTTTTTTTAAATAAAAATAAATGTAAAGTAATTAAATGTATTTGTTTTTTTCTATAATATTATAAAACTGTAGAGTTTGTTAGTTTGTTTGAACGTGCTAATCTCCGGAACTACTGGTTCGAATTGAACAATTATTTTTGTGTTTAGTTGTGTTGTGTTAGTTCATTTATCGAGGAAGTCTTTAGGCTATAAAACATCACGTGACGATCTGTAGGAGCCTAGCAACGAGTGAATCCGCGCGAGACTAGCTAGTATTTATAAGTTTTTTGAATACCGTAATTACCAAAAAAATTATTTGCCATAAAAATATTTTTATTTTATATTCAGCATGACATACGATCGACTTATAAAATTCTAACATTAGATCCAACTTATACATACATATATTTTACAATTACCCACATAACTTAACAAATAATGTAAATCCAATTTGTATTCGGCTTACCCAGTTTTTTTTCATACTTACCTACATAATATTATCACTTACGTTTCAAAAATTGTTTTATTTTTATCGACTCACTAGCTATTCTCGCGCGGTTTCACCCGCTGCTTGGCTCCATTTAATCGTAGCGTGATGTTTTGTACCCTATAGCACTCAGGAATATTGTAGCTATCTATCAGTGAAAGAATTTTGGAAATCCGACCAGCAGTTCCAAAGATTACCTCCTACATACAAATTTTACCTCGTTATAATATCAGTATTAATTCGTCGGTGAGCGATGTAGGTAACTGTTATGGATCTTACTGGGTGAGTAAACAGAGTTACTTTAATGAAGTACAAGGTCAAATTCGTACCTTCATAATGTTATTTAATTATTTCTTCATTCATTATAAAGTTAAATGTCATGCAACACAGTTCTTTGTAGGGACAGTTTATATAAAAAATGTTTTTGTTGCTATTTCTATTTTTTATTTCGTTTTGTGGTGAGTGCTTTTTTATATATTTTTTTAATACTATAAGTGTAAATAGATCATAGGGCCGATGTCCAGTCGATGTTGTGAGTGCAATCCTAATAAAGGTTCTTAAGGTTGGGTCTCCGAAAACCTCCGATAATTATAACGCAAGCGTTGTTCCTCGCCGGTTTTCTAGAAGCCTTTCAGTTTAAGTGTGGGAGAGCCAAGCTTCGGCACGAATAGGTCCGCTCGACCGGAGTGATACTACTGCCTCACAGAAAATCGGCGTGAAACATCCATTGTGTTGTGTTTCGCCGTGTAAGTGATGTTACCGGAGGCCCAATCCCTCCCCTTCCTTTATCCCTTCCCAATCGTTAAACTCCTTAACTATCCAAAACCCTTCTCCCCAAAAGGTCGGTAACGCACTCGTAACTCCTTTGGTGTTGCGGGTGTCCATGAGCAGCGCCGATTACATACCATCAAGTAATCTGTTGACTCGTTTGCCGATTTATCCTATAAAAAGGCCATAGTATCACTCCGGTCGAGCTGGCCCATTCGTACCGAAGCATGGCTTTCCCACACTTAAATTTTTGTTATATATAACCGACTAGCTTTTGCCCGCGACTCCATTCGCGTGGAATAGTGACTTCCTGCAGAATTTTGTTATAAAAACTATGTCCTTTCTCGAGTTCCAAACTATGTCTGTACTAAATTTCACAGATATCGGTTCAGTAGGTTAGGCGTGAAGAAAAGACAGAGTTACTTTCACATTTATAATATGAGTTTGGATTCAACGATGAAGTTTACATTTAGAATAAATATAATCCCTAATATAAGAATAAAATACAAAAAAGTAATACATAAGAATGAGTTGCTTTTATAAGGAAACGATACGTGCCTTGATTTTTGTTTCACCCACATTCATAATTTGTGCACTTTTTTTAACATTATTTTCTATGTCCTTACCCAAAGTTCGCCTTATATGTATAATATTTGAGTCTAATTCTAACATTGTTAATGAAAGTGAAATAGATTAATATTTACTTTTGAGAGAAATAAATTCTTATAGGATAGGTATAAACAATATAATCATCATCAGCCTATAAGTGCCCACTGCTGAGCAAAGGCCTCTTCTCACACGGATAGGATTTGTAATTAGAAATGATTTCCAAGCACCAGTTTTCAGGTTTCCTCCCTATGTTTTCCTTCACACCGTATTTCAGTGGTGTCTAAATAATCATAGAAAGTACCTACATATAAATTGTTAAAATTCACATTGGTACTTGCTTGATTATGGTGCCTGCCTTTCTTGCATGAGGCACCCTCTTCATGCATGAAAGGCGGGTACCTTGTCAATGCCTTAAGTTTAAATTATGGTACTTACCCGCCTCTCGTGCATGAGGGTGCCATAACCTCTGGGCCACAGCGACACTTTTTTTTCACGAAACAATAATTATTACGCCAAAAATAAAAATATTCGTCTGACGTAATTCCATGCATACTTTCAACTTCGTCCTTAACGAATATGTACATTATGAGTTCCTGATTAAAAAATATTTTTTTAAACTGTACAATCACATGTTTTTAAATAACCACACTATCCGTTGTTGTATAAGTATATCGTCGTATATCGACTGCAAGGTTGGCGCAGTGGCTGCTGTGCAACGTGTCGCGGGTTTGATTCCCGCACGAAACAACACTTTTTGTGATCTACAAGTTGCTGTTTCGGGTAGATTTGTATGTTTGTAAATGCACCCACGGCACAGGAGAAAACCCTAATGTGGGGCAAAGTCTGAAAAAAAAGTGTTGCCGGCCTTTTAAAAAGGGGTGCGTAGTTACGTATGTAATATTATCTGCATTTTTATTTGCTTACAGGTCACGTATATCCCCAAGCTACACACAAGACTCAAGCAGACACATTTCTAGATTCGTTGGCACAAAAACTGAAACTCGAAAAATGGGAGAAAGACGAAGTGCCGTGTTTAAAAAGCGTTTTAAATGTTTTGGAAAACGTCAAGAATCATACTTTGTGGGCGACTTGGAGTAAGTAACATCACGCTATCTAATAGGAGCCAAGCAGTAGGAGTAGCCAGTAAGAAGTATTGTTATGTTTGTACCAAGAACGGAGTATTTATTTCAATTCTTTTTAATTTAAACATTGACTCACACTAGATTTTTCTTCTGTGTCGTGGTTGCCTTTACAAATACTTATACATCACACCCAGATCTGTAAAATTAATGTGTGGATCACAGAAAGAGTTGTTCGGGAATCAAATCCGCCTCAATCGTGTAATCAGATATAATATTTAGCATTTTTCTTATAACAAATAAGTTCTTAATTAGCTTTCTCTATTTCAGTTTGGAATGCGAATTCGATACCGTCAGGCAATTTGTACGGGTCATTCAGACATTATGCGAGTTACGATCAATGTCTAAAACCACCATGGTTGCACACCCATCCAAAATTGAAAACCAAATACTGCTTCACCGATTTCCAACTTTCTGATGATAATCATCATGTTAAAAGATTAGCTGATCATGACCCTTATGGGTCCACCATGGAGTTTATTAAGGTGAGCACCTTTTTTTATTTTTGGGAATGAACTAGTGTCTTCTTTTGCCCAGATTTAGGCGAGAAGGAGAGTCAGACTCTTACTTGTAATATGAATAAGATACTAAGATCTTGGTTACTTTTACTTTAATATCACAGTACACAGTCGAGCAGCTCACTGCACCAGAGTTACATTGTCAATGGCCGACACTATCTCGACCACCTTATTTACAGCCCGCGCCAAACTTTGTGACCGCCCTGAATATAGTCGCGAGTCCGAACTTGCGCATGGTACAGTCGAGTGGGCAATACGTAATTAACGCAATTTTCGTTTCCTAACATTTATTACGTATATACCAATATTGTTTGATTGCGTATTGCCCAGTCGACTGTACCATGTGCAAGGCACATTGGTACTTGCCAGGTTTTGAACCCACACCTCATGCATGAGAAGCGGGCTCCTTCCAGACGTAGCAGTAGTGTACTTCCACCACGTCAAGAACACTACGGCTATGTCACCGCTCACTATGATCAATGTCAAATCATACGATGCTTCCAATCAATATACATATTTTATCGGAAAAAATAATTGCTTTCCTTACGGAATCTCGGGTTCTAAAGTAATTTAAAATAATCACAATACAATTAAAATAAATCATGACCTCTGCTATGAATAATAATATTATTAATTTGTACGTTCAAATTATTTCTTGTTGTTTTGTTTGTTCAGCAGTACAGTACGAGTACTTAGAACAAGGGCGACAGCCCAGCGAGGTAAACAGGTTTACGTACCTAAAACACGAACTTAAGACAAAAACAGACACGTGTTTATTTGTTTTTTTTTTAATAACAAGAACTGGGAAATTTATTTTTTATTTATTAGAGACAATAAACAGCCACAATATATAGTTCTTAGTAAATAAATAATAAATATGCCAATAATAACAATATTGCAGCCCATTGCATTATCCACATTTTAACAAAAATTAAAAGATTATAATGAGTACCACTAAACAAGCATATTAATTCAATAAATAATTATATTACAAAATTTTTAAACAATTTTGAAATTAGTAGTTAAAATATTATAATATAACACAATAATAAAGACATGATCATACATCAATATATAGTAGTATAATAGTAATGATACTGTGTAAAGCTATGCTTCAACACGCATGGGTCGACTCGACTGGAGTGATATTACAGCCTCACAAAAAAATATGCTGTTATATAACGCTTATCTCGTGTTCTGCCGTATGTTTTTTTTTGTGAGGGTATAATCATCAATTGACTTCTCCCCCCCAGGGTAGGGCGGGAGGGAGTGTCAGACTCATACTGACTAAAAACTCTCCCGTTCACGGTGTCTCATTGCGCTTACCCTGCAACCCCGATTCTATCGTATGGTAAGGTTTGCTTAGGTGCAATTCGCTCCTCCCAATCCTTCCAAATTCCTAAATTCTCAAATCATACCTTAAAGGTAACTTTCTGCCCCGCACAGCAAAGCTTTGGAATAATCTTTCGGCGGCGGTATTCCCAAACAGTTACGACCTTCAAACCTTCCAGAAACGAGCGTACTCCTTCTTAAAAGGCCGGCAACGCATCTGCGACTCCTCTGGTGTTGCAGGTGTCCATGGGCGGCGCCGATCGCTTACCATCAGGTGATCCGTCTGATCGTTTGCTTCCTATTACATAAAGAAAAAGGTGATGGTTAAGCTGAGCGACACCGATTGTTTGCCATCAGGTGATCAAAGTCATGTTGGTACTTACGAAGATTTCTCAACCGCACAAGTACGTGAGTGATCTCCGGACACCCTAAGCTCGGGTCTGTAGACGGCGAGCGAGAGCATACAGCGCATAGCGTTCCGCGAAATAGCCGGTAGACCACCACAGACCGAGCCCACCAGGGCTAATAATGATCAGCCGGGGTGGCAGGACAATCGCAATTAGGAACAAAGGCCTAGGCTTGGATCAGGAGACGTCCTTAAGAATTTTCTCCTCACAAAAAATAACGGTTGATTTGTTTTAATTTTCTCCATTTACCACTAAAATCACTGATGTCAATTTCATTTCTCTAGTCATCATTTCAATTATGATTTCAGTCAGTAACTCCATCGGGAATGCCTGTGAACCAGATCATGTGGGGCTTGTGTATACCAGCGGCCTGCTCACCTCCAGCAGTCTCCAAGCTGACCAGGGTGGTGTATGAGGCCGCCACCTTCAGCAGCATAGCCTCTGACGTCACGGTGAAACACTGCCAGGAAGCTGGGGAGACGCTGCCATACTCCACTGGGTTTTATATCTTCATGTAAGTCATAACATATAGAAAATGGTGTATTAGGGTCCCTGCAGGAGTTCAGAGATCTTCTAACATTATATTTATTAAGTTTAACCAATACTGCTTACACAGTACCTACATTATTATTTACACAAGGGTCACATTTGCGCAACAATGAATTACAGGTTAACATCACATGCACAAAGAATTAAAACTGTTTTAATTGACGTACATTATAGGTATATTAAAAGCAAACAAAATAAAAAATAAATTGAACAATAAATTCAATAAATTTTTATTTAGCCCTTTTTCTGTTGCTGCAAAATCATCAACGAACTTTGTCGCCCTAGATGGGGAGTAAGAGAGTTTTTTTATGTAATAGGACGGCAAACGAGCAGACGGTTTACCTGATGGTAAGCAATCACGCCGCCCGTGGACCCGCAGCGGAGGAATAACGAGTGCGTTGCCGACCTTTTAGGGATTAGGGTTTTGGAGATTTAGGGGTTGAGGAGGGATTGGAGGAGGGGAAGGATTAGGCCTTCGGTAACCTCATTCACACGGCGAAACAACGCTGTGGTTGTTTCACGTCGATTTTCTGTGAGGCCATGGTATCATTCCGGTGGAGTCGACCCATTCGTGCTGAAGCATGGCTCTCCCACACTTAAAGAGTTGCAGACTCTTACTAACTAAACACGGGGTTGTTACCCCTCCCTCGTTCCTTCTCCTTCTCCAGGCCGAGGCCGGGGTACATAATTTACATATTCGATTCCACTTGCGCGGCAACCCCTAATTTTGTCTAGTGATTAATACAATATAAAACATATCACCTATCGGGTCAACTTACTGTCTGTTACGTAAAGTTAATTTCTGATATAAGTGGGGAGAAATAATTTGCACGAACAACTATTTTATTATAGCATACTTGATCTTAAACCGATTATATTCAGGTTTAACATTGGCCTCTGACGCCTTATTAAAAATGAGATCATAATAGTGCAATTAGTAATGTACGTTATATGTTTTGATACAGGCGAAGTTGCCATTTTATGTCATCAGGCAGTGATGATATTTATAAATTATCAACCATAACAACCATATCAACATTTAAATTTCCTCCTCCTTTCGGTCGCGTTTACTGGTCCAGTTCAATATACCAGCAGCCCAGTTTTTACCCGGATTTGGAACAGACTGGTTTTAGTTAGAGCACTCCCTCTAGGTTCAACCAAGGCTGGAGTAGACAGATACACCCCTCCATTCACTCAAAAAATCTAGCTCCTTTCGTTGCTTGTCCTCAATTTTCTCAAACACGTTGTCTAGGTAGAAAAACTAGACCTAAATTTGTAATTCCAATCTCGCCAACGTAGCGAACCAAAATCATTAATGTTTTTATTTTTTTTCCAGAATATTGTTATTTTCGCTGATGTCTACGGCTGTGGCTTCAACCTTATATCGAATGCATGTGTCGTCCGGAGATGAGTCCCCGGATAGTTTGAGTGAGTTTCAGTTTCTTATTTGATACATTTCGGAGAGTGTTAGAAGGAGCTACATGACTTGACATTCCCTTCCTTGCCGGATCACCGCCATGGGATCTGGAAGTAAAGGCGCTCGCGCGCGTCTACAGTTTGCGCGCAGACGCGCGTCGCCGGGGCGAGGATCCTCTGCCGCGCCAAATTAGTGCGTGGCGGAATGAGCTCCGGCGAGATCTCATGGCAGAGTGGAAGCAGCGACTGTCGCAACCGAGGGCCGGGCACGCTACTATAGCAGCGTTAACACCCCTCTTTGAGGAGTGGCTTGAGAGACGCCACGGCGTCCTCACCTTCCGCCTGACGCAGGTGCTTACCGGGCACGGCAGCTTCGGTAGGTTCCTGTTTCGGATCCAGCGGGAGGAAACGCCCGAGTGTCGTCATTGTGAGGACCACCTAGAGGATACGGTGGAGCATACGGTAGCGGTATGCCCTGCCTGGGCTGAGCACCGCCGTATCCTCAGGGAAGTGATCGGCGGCGGCGACCTCTCGCGCCCGGCCTTAGTCGAGGCCATGGTGCAGAGTGAGAGGAACTGGGACGCCGTCTCCTCCTTTTGTGAAGCAGTCATGCTCGCGAAGAGAGAGGCGGCCCGCGTGAGGGAGCAATCCTCCTCCTCACGCCCCAGCAGCCGCAACTGGCGACAATACGGGCGTCGGGGATCGAGGGACGATCTCCGGCCATCCAAGCACGGGCCTGCGGTCGGCGAGTAAGGGCAGCTCGCCGCCCGACCAGAACCAGGCCCGAGCGTACGGCGCGTAGCGTTCCGCGCGCGCCTCAAAGAGCCATTCGACCACCACAGATGGGGCCCTAAAGGGCTGATGTTCAGCCGGGGTTGCGGGGTAAGCGCAATGAGGTACCGCGACCTCGGCACAGAGCAGGAGAAGGAACAGGGGGGTTTTTAGTCAGTAAGAGTCTGACACTCCCTCCTGCCCGGCCCTGGGCGGGAGAAGTCATTTGATGATTTTCACCTCACAAAAAAAAAAAAAATCTTGACATTCCCTAGTTCTTTTCACTATAACACCACCACACCAGACCATCGGCTAAACAACCACAAAAATATCCAACTTACAAATAAAGCGTCACATCTCCAGTTTTATTATCAGAGCTGCTAGCGAGTGCATATTTTTCCCGGAGTGTGTTTCCTCAAAGAGTAACCTGGATGTCTTCAAAGCCCTATTAGAAAAGGTTGCTTAGGGGTAAACTCCATCGTAGGTCGCATCATCACTTACCATAAGGAGAGATAGCGGTCAAACGCCAGAGCATTATTATAAAAAATTAAGACATTTCAAAATATTTTTCTAATATTATCCATACTTGACCTGTTCTAGACGTCCTCTATAATTCAGACCATCAATCGCCAAAGACAGTTATTGCATCACAAAAACGTTACTCTACCTTTAAGTCTTTTTAGATTAAAAATACTTGCTTTCTTTTTTACGTCAACTTATTATTGATCCAACTTGATGCTTCTTGGCCCTACATGACCTTTTGCCATTTTGCTCACTGGCGCCACTCGTGACTGCAAAATCAAAACGCCTGATATTGACGTTATTATCCATTGGTACTTTCTTGATCCGTTACCAAAATTAAGCACTAGGATGCCAAGCCTAATGAGTAGTGTTCTTGAGTATAAAATATATTTCTAATGTCAGTTTTACACATTACAATTAAAATTAAACCTTAAATTTCAGTGACAATCATAACAAAATCATTCTGCATGATTAAGAATCAAGAAGACTTAATAAAAGTCAACAAGGATGAAATTCGTGTGATGAACGGCATGAGATTTATTACTGCAGCCATTATTATATCTATACATGTGGTCTTCTATATGTCAATATCTGGTATAGGTAATTTAATGGATGTTGATGCGGTAAGTTTATAGTATAATAAGGACTTAATTTTAGTTCAAAACTTGGAAATTAATACTTACGCATAAATATATTTTACTTCTTTCCAATATTATAAATAATGAGAAAGTTACGATGTTTTTTATTATGGATTACCTGATGAGAAAGAATCGGCGCCGCCCATGGGCACCCGCAACACCAATGGAGTTACGAGTGCGTTGCCGGCCTTTTGGGGATAGGGGTTGCGTATATAAGGATCGGGAAGGAATAGAGGAGGGGGAGGGATTGGACCTCCGGTAACCTCACTCACATGGCGAAACACAACGCTGTGGTTGTTTCACGCCGGTATTCTTAGAGGCCGTGGTATCACTCCGGTCGAGCCGACCCTTTCGTGCCGAAGCTTGGCTTTCCCATTTATAAAATAAGTTTGGATGTTTGCTACTCAACCATGGACTGGCTGGACGGCTCTGGATAAAATTTGGCACAAGCATAGGCTACACTTCGGAATATGACATAGGCTACTTTTAATCTATATATGTATATAGGTATATATGATTTTTTTTAGTTTCTCGAAGGTTTTGGTGGATATCTTCTGCATTTTGATCTCTTTGTGGATACATTCTTCACCATATCTGGTCTACTTCACATCAAGGGTCTACTGGGAAGACGGCAGAACCTGTTTAATGTACTCTGTAAACGGTATATAAGGTATGCGAACATTCATTCTACCATTTTTTTGGCAACAACAATTTTGTTACAATTAAACAACAAGTTGTTCCGTGCGGGAATCAAACCAAGCACCAAAACACGTTGTTCTTATTTAAGTTCTCGCATGGACCAGACATCTTCATGTTAATGGAATAAAAAAATAAAAGGATCGACCTTACGATTCCAAAAATATTGTGAAGGTCGATTTTATATATCTTTCCTTTCTCAATTCGACTGCCGCATGCCATTTATACTTTTTATTGTCAGGTAAACTTCGACAGCACGGTTGGCGCGTTGGCCGGGCAACTGGCTGCCGCGCAACGTGTTGCGGGTTCGATTCCCGCACGGAAAAATTCTTTGTGTGATCCACAAATTGTTGTTCCGGGTCTGGGTGTGATGTGCATGTGAAATTGTATGTTTGTAAACGCACCCACGTTACAGGAGAGAATCCTATCATGGGGCAACGTTTTATTTAAACAACAAAAAAAACTTTTTGCCTTTAAAAGATGCCTTTTTGATAATCAGAAAGACTGGTTTCAGGTTAATAGGACCATTTGCGCTAATCGTCTTCTACTTGATATCAGTATCTAAGCACTTTAGTCAAAGCCCGGTCTGGCTTGGATTGGAGGAAACAGATGTTTGCGAGAAAAACTGGCTGAAGAGTTTGCTCATGATGAATTCGGATGTAAGAAATATTGTGAGTATAAATCATTGAAAATGCTTTTTTCCTTTAAGGAATGTACTTTTTTCTATGTGATAAGACGTCAAACGAGCAGACGGATTACCGTATGGTAAGCAATCGGCGCCACCCATGCAACCATAATACCAAAGGAGTTACGAGTGCGTTGACGGCCTTTTCGGGATAAGGGTTTCGAATACTTAAGGATTGGGAAGAGAAGGGATGAGGGGGAAGGTTTGGGCCTCCAGTGACCTCACTCACAGAGCGAAACACAACGGTATGGTTGTTTCACGCTTGTTTTCTGTGAGGCTTTGGTATAACTCCGGTTGAGCCGACACATTCGTGTCGAAGCATAGCTCTCCCACACTTAAACTTGCACAGTACTGTTTATGGAGCAACTAATACCACTTGTAGTAAAGAGTCTTCTGTTCTTTGCAGTGTCATGATGTGACTTGGTACTTGGCCTGTGACTATCAGTTGGCAATCCTGGGCACTTTTCTCTTCTACCTCTATCAGAAGAACAGGAATTTTGGGTTCGTCTCTTACACAATAGTTACAGTGTTATCCATGGTCATTCCTGGGGTGTTGACGTACTTGTTCACATTACCTGGTGTTCTCTTTGTGGATTATGGGTAAGATTTTACAATTTTCTTAAATGGTATAAGTATTTGAAATGTATTAAGTTTATTATCATCATCAGCATCACTTAAATGTGGGCCATTTAAATGATGCTGGTGAAGTTAAGCTTCGGCACGAATGGGTCAGGTATGCGGGAGTGATACCTCGGACTTGTGTTTCGCCGTGTGACTTCGGTTACCAGAGTCCCATACCTTCTTCCCCTCCCCCAATCTCAGCTGCCCAATCTCTAAACCCCTCTTTTGGTGTCGCGGGTGTCCATGGGCGGCGCCGATTGCTACCGTCAGGTAAACCGTCCGATCGTTTGCCACCCTATCACATCAAAAACTATTCAAAAAGAAGTTTCCTAAATGATATCGATTTTCCAAAACAATAAGTTCACTGTTTTTTTTTATGGAAATTAAAGACTGATAATTTTCTTTCAGTAAATATGTAATCAAATATCGTGAGACTTGGGAGATCAGTTTATTGTACACGCCGTCCTACAGTCGTGCCAGTCCGTATCTTGTAGGTGTCGCCATGGGCTACTTCATGTACTTGTACAAACCTGCTGACTATAGGAAATCTGTTTCTAAAGTAAGTCTTCTTGAGGTCTTCTGCAGATGATTTATTTGTTTAATCTTTAAGATACCTTGGGGCTTACCTTTCCGGGTTGCGAAAAGAGAAATGATGGTTGTTCTTAGTCAGTAAGAGTCTGACCTCTAACCTCTGCCAAAGGTGAAAGAGATAGACCATGACTATTCACCACAAAAAATGTGCTGGTGCGTAAAATATATAAAATGGGCAATGAATAATCGGTTTCCATACCATCGAGGAAAATCGGAAATTTTCAAAATTCCATTGACGTGTCACAGTTTTTGTACTTTAACCTTGTGAACATGAAATCTTGATTAGAATCTAAGGGAAGGAGATACAACTGGATGATTTTACAGTTACATCCTAAAAGGACAGAAACATTATTTTAGTTTTTTTTATTGCACCTTTAACTTGGGACTTCTTACGAAATAGTCGAATATTATTATTATTACAGTGGCAAAGTAGACATGAGACAGATTAAAAAAAGATTTGAAGATCACTATTCCCCATTTTATTTTACTTAAGGTCGATTTTTAAATAGTCAGATAAATGTTATCTGAGGAACAAAATTGTTGCTGTCACTATCTAATACAAACATTCTGGCGCGCATATTTATTCCAGAACTGGTCCATTGTTGGTATTGCTGTGAGCTTTATAATGATGGCAGCCACAATGTCCCTCGGTTACATCCTCAGACAACGAGGGCTAGATCCTATAGATGCTGTAGTCGCCGCAGCCACTAACAGGATCTTCTGGGCTGCAGCCATCTGCTGTATCATAGGGATGTGTGAATATGGAACTGTTCGTAAGTATAATTGGCATTTTTAGTAAACTATGTAGAATAATGACCCATTTTTACTTTAACAGTAATAAATGTTTTTTTTTTAATTTTAATTTAATTAAACATAGACATGGAGTTTAAGTATCGTTTTATCCAATTATTTTTAACATAAATAGTAGCATTATTACCTTAAATAAAAAAAAAATGTACTTATGATTATTTAACAATGTATAATATCTTTTTACCAACTTTCGCCTGAAACACAGGTTGTCCTAGTTCAGGCACCCAATATTATGAACTTGGTAAAGCTTTAAGCAAAAGTGTATATTCTAGATTATGAGTTTTGAGTTCTAGACACCTTCCAATGTTGATATTTATTTAAGTTAAATCATATAATAGGTCTTTACCTATGAAATTGCCGTTCTGCAGTACTGGCCATTTCAAATCAAAATAATTTTTGTTAGGCTGTAGAGTGTTCGGATTGCGAGTGATTGTTAGTGGAGAAGAAGAAAGATAAAATTGTTAATGTTCAGTTTAAATAGTTTAATAATATCACGTACACACGATACAATGAATTATAAATGTTAAGAAATGTTAAAAATGTTATTGAATGCACACCCGGTCGCGGTGCTTCCGTTAAATGCACTGAAATTAATAAGTAAAATTAATATTCAAGCGCACGCGACATGATGCGTAATCATAAAATGTGTTTGGTGTTAAATAGAACACCGAACATCTTGCGGAGGGCGAAGATAAACAAACTAGCATAAGAAAACAAGGATAAAAAAGAAGAAAATCAAATTAAGTAATAGTGTAAAATAGAAAGTAAAAACGTTTACATAGAATTACTAAATGTTATTTTGTTTAGCACTGGGGATGTTCCCCTTTCTTTGAATTCGTTTTGTAACAGTCTTGCACAACACTGATTCACTTGCACTCTCTCACTAAATTGTTCGACGGTGCTGCTCGAAGCGGTGGCTGGGGCGGCCCCCCTGGGCGCCGTCTCCGCTGCTGGCTGCCTTCTACACCGGGTTCGCCGGAACACGACGACTGCTGCTGTTATGGCCACTATCCCTAATGTTAAGTATATCAGGGTATAGTGATGGATGTCATGAGTAGATATTTCTGATAGCGCGCTACTGTTCTTCATAACCTGTATCCTCTGTTCTATATCCTGCAGAAGTTGTTCATGACCAGGATAAGTAATGTTCTCATCTGTTAGGTTATATCTTGGGATTGATATGTTAATTATATGATTAATCGGCGCTATCTGTAATGTTTCAATTTTGTTCTGCAGCGACATCGTACTTTCTTGATGTTTATGGGAGTAGATGGTAAAGTTATCTGTTTTTACCACACACTGCTCTTTCAGGCTTATAATGTTTGTTCCAGTAAGCTGATGTGCCGTCACTTGATCTTTACACAGGATCCTTATCTGGCAATGATCACAACAAAAGTGTAGGTATTGATTTACTGTTCTTAGATGGGTCCATTTACTTTGACAAGCCGATACTAGTGTTTTGCAATGCTCTGGGTGGATGTTGTCTTTGATACAAAGGTCCGTATCGGTTTTCATTTTATAAATGGGGGTTTTCAATTCACATAGGTAAGTAGTAGGGTCACGAGTGATGCAATGTTCCAGTTCGTTTTCCGTAACAGGTAAGTAGGCATCTTTCTGTAAATTTACGGCTACGTAACTTTCTATGGGTCGTATAGTGAACATGCCTTCATCAGATCGATGCGGCACAGGAATAATGTGGTATAGATCATAATTTTCTGTGCTTATTAGAGGCACTATTATCTCAAACATAAGGTAGTTCTTCGTCATCTTTGCTCGGACTCTCAGTAGATTATAAATACTTTGCATGTTGGTTTGTATGTTATCGATTGGGAGTGTAAGTTCTTGGGAAAGTTGTCCTGAGATCACACTAAGTTCATTCTGGAACTGTATTGGGTCGATCAGATGTATATTTAATCGGCCATTGTGTATACTTGTTATAGTGTCGAGTAATGTATCTTGAATGTTTCTTAGATGGGTTAATAAGTTGTTAGCTGCCATTGCCGATAAAGTAAACTCGGTCATAGCTTCAGTAGTGCTTATTTGTTGCGCAAGGACATTACTAGTCTTCTCTAGATTCATTAAGTGCTTGCTAATAGTTTTGTGTTGTATTTTAACTGTTTCTTCGGTTCGTTTCAATAGGTTGTATTCCGCCTCCATGACTGATGTTTGATTTTTCCATAATTGTGTAAGATATTTTTGATTTTCCCGTACTTGAGTTATGTCTTTTTCATATTGTTCTGAGAAACGATCGTCTAATACTCCGAATAACGTATTTGCCAGATATCCGACACCATTGATAAGACCACGCTTTGTTCTCGTGCGCGCGCTCAGCTGATTGTTAAGTAATACTTTGTTATTATGTTTCAACTCGGTGTAGGTATGACGTAGCTGCAACATGATAATGTCGCAATGCGTCAGCTGTTGAAGGGTACTACATATTGTTTCTAAATGTTTATAATATTTTTCATAAGCTGTTATTCCTTCCCAGTAAGGTTGAAGATCGTAATAAGCAATTATTTTCCACTCATCGCGTACTAGTTGCATATTTGCTAATTTATCGAAATAAATCGCTTGATGTTCGTTCAGTGGAGTTAAATTAAAACAATGTCCCGATGATATAATAGCCATGAGGCATAGAAGAAATCCGATAAGTGAAGAAATGTAATTCGATCCCTTGTTTTGTTTCTGTTTCTTTCTTACAAATGTTGCCGTCTCTGTTTGGTTTGTTGTTATTGTTGTGGTAGGTTGTGTTTCATTAGGTTTTTCTAGAGGTAATATTGATAATTTAGTGACAGGTCTTTTAATGGTTCCATTTTTTGTTTTCAGAGTTACGACTCTTACATAACCATCACTGCCAGGATGTGCTTCGACGACTCTTCCTAGGGCCCACTTTCCAGAAGGAAGATTATCTTCATGGATGACTACCATATCCCCAGATTTTATGTTTTGCTGAGGATGTTGCCACTTTCTTCTTGCTGATAGTTGCGTTAAATATTCGGATTTCCATCTTTTCCAAATATTGTTGGTTATTTCTTGTGTTAGATGCCAACGTGTTCGTGCGTCTTCAGGCGTGTCAATTGTTGTTAATCCTGCTCTTCCAGCCAAAAAATGAGCGGGCGTGAGAAAGTCCAAATCCTCAATGTTTTCTGTTAAAGCGCACAAGGGACGTGAATTGAGACAGGCTTCTATTTGAGTTAGTATAGTGCTGTACTCTTCATATGTCAGCTTTTGTTCTCCCACTACGCGTTTTAGATGATGTTTCAGGCTTCTAACGGCTCGCTCCCAGAGTCCTCCCGCACTGGGCCAAGCAGGCGCGTTAAAGTGCCATTCAATGTTCATTTCCGTTACCTCGCTTAAGAAATTGTCACTGAAAATGTTCCTTAACTGTTCCCATTCTTTTTGCAAAATATTGTTGGCTCCGACAAAGTTGGTACCGTTGTCGCTGTACAGATGTTGAGGTGCCCTACGTCGCGCTGACATCCGTCTTAGAGCTGCCAGGAAGGCGGAGCTGGTAAGATCGGAAACTAATTCTAAATGCACGGCTTTGGTCACCATACATACGAAAATAGCCACATACCCTTTTGATGTTTTCACGCCTCTCCCCTTGTTGGCCTTCACATCTACGAATCCTGTATAGTCCACTCCCGTGTGACTGAATGGATTCGCCGCATTGGTTCGAGACGAAGGTAAGTCCCCCATCAGCTGCTCTTGGGTTCTTCCTTCATGTTTCCTACACGTGACACATTTTCTTAACTCCTTCTTCACACTGTTGTTGCCACCGGTAATCCAGTACTCTTGCCGCAAAGTTGCCAAGGTAAGACGAGGACCGCCGTGGAATGTTAACTTGTGGGCTTGGTCGATCAGCAGGGTAGCCAGCCGGGTGCCAGCAGGTATAATCTTGGGGTGTTTCATTTCGTTGCTCATTGTTGCTTTTTCCAGCCTTCCACCCACGCGTAAAAGATCGTCCGAGTCGATGTACGGATGTAAGTTTAATAACTTACTGTTCGAATTTAATGTTTTATATTTACGCAAATGTTTAATTTCTGTTGGATATTCATAGTGTTGCACATGCCTTACAATCGCATTTTTCGCCTTGCGTAATTCTTGCAACGTAAGGTAGTTCGGAAGACGTTCGCGTCGTGGGGTCAACGCACGTTGGATCCATGCCAATATGCGGACAATTTTGCTAAATGAACTATGTTTTATTAACAGTTGATGAATTATGTTTTCATTTAAATTATAAGTTGCAACATTTGTTTGGCGAGGTTTTTTCTCTTCATCAGTTTGGTATGTTTGCTTTAATGTTCTTTCGGGTTGAAATGTTGATAACCAGCGCGGCCCGGTTCTCCAAAGACATTGATTGTCTAGAAGTTGAGATGGGTACAAACCGCGACTCGCGTCATCCGCGGGATTTTCATCTGTTTTAACGTAACGCCACTGAGATTCGGCGATTACTTTTGTTATTTGTTGAACTCTGTTCGAGACGAACGGTTTCCACCTAGAGGGTTCTCCTTGTAGCCATCCCAAGACTACTTTAGAGTCCGTCCATCCATATGTTACAATGGTATGTTCCTGTAATGTTAGCTTAATTTTGTTGATAAGTTTCGACAGTAAATGTGCTCCACTTAGTTCTAAGCGTGGCAATGTTAATGTTTTATTGAGGGGTACGAGTCTAGTCTTTCCAGCGACTAAAACTACTTTTGTTTGATGTTGCATACGAGCGTATACTACACACCCATACGCTTGCATTGACGCGTCACAGAACCCATGAAGTTCTATAACATCATGTTTTTGGCTAAGAATCCATCGAGGAATCTCGCACTTGTTAATATTATGTAAATCCTTTTGTAACTTTGACCACTCGGCATAGATATCACTTGACACCTCGTCGTCCCATTGGATGTTAGTTTTCCAGACTTTTTGAAACAATAATTTTAATTTAGATACAATTGGCGATAGCCAC